GCATCAACTTGGCTGAACTATAGTCTCCAGTTATTTAATCAAATACAAATCTGAGAGTTGCTATGAAGATGTTTTGAAACAGGGTCTCACTTTGTTACCCAGGCTGGGTGCAGTGGTGCCATCACAGCTCACTGAAGTCTTGACCTTCTGGACTCAAGCAATCCTCCCACCGCAGCCTCCTGAGTATCTGGGATTATAGGCATACCACCATGCCCTGCTAATTTTTAAAAATATTTTTGTAGAGATGAGGTCTCACTATGTTGCCCAGGCTTGTCCCAAACTCCTGGGCTCAAGTGATCCTCCTGCCTCAGCCTCTCAAAATGTTGGGATTACAGGCATGAGCCACTATGCTGGGCCTGAAGGTGTTTTTGTGGATGTAACTAAAAATCGTAAATTGATTTTAAGTAAGAAAGATTATCCTAGGCAATCTGGTTGGTCCGGATTCAATCAGTGGAAAGTCTTTAAAAGCAGAGTTGAAGAAGAAGAAATTCTGCCTGGGGACTATGACTTCAGTCCTTGCCTGAAAGTTCCAGCCTATTCTCCTGCCTGCCTTACAGATTTCCAATTTGCCTAATCAGCCCACCTCCTCCGCATAAGTCAATTCCTTGAAATAAATCTCTCACTGTGTATCTCCTACTGGTTCTGCTTCTCTGTTGGAACTCTGACTGATATCGATTTGGTACTTTCAGTGCCACTTTCAGTGGCTCTAGAGGAACAGAATCTTGAGGATGAGTTTTCTGAATTGGTTCTGCATTTTCTTGAACTGGTTCTCTTGTATGATTACATTTAAAGGCACTAGCGACTCTATTTTCAGTGGTGAAGAGGGCATTGGGAGTCCATGGCATGATAAAGCATTGAATATGCCTAATGAAACACCTATAGAAAGCAAGGTCATGAGTGACTGTGTATTTTTTACCTCAGAATATTTTAAACTAAGGAACAGAATGGCATTGGCCAAAAATGCACTGAAGAAAGTAGGCAAAGAAAAGGATGAGCTCAGGGTTTCAAATTCCCAGCTTTAAGTGTTTAAAGCTTTAAGCTATGCATAGATGGCCTGGAAGCTTCTATATCTGTCCTGAAAGGAGTCCTTAGGGCCATGATTTCTGAAAGCAAACCCAGAGTCTCATTCTGCAAGGGGCTGATAGAGATGCTGTTTAGAGCCTTTGGCAGACCACTGTAGGTGAATCATGCTGCAGAACCGTAAGATTTTGGAGCAAAGCCCTGCAGATTAGTACTGTCCTCTTGAGAAAAAACGTTTGGCTTGCTGGGCCTCAGCAGAGACTGAACAGTTAACCGTGGGTCATCAAGTTATCAAGTGACCTGAGCTGCTCATCATGAACTAAGTGTTATCTGATCCACCAAGCTATAAAGTTGTGCACTCACAGCAACACTCCATTATCAAATTGAAGTGGTATATATCAGATTGGGCTCAAATGGGCCCTGAAGGCACAGGTAAGTTGCACGAGGAAGTGGCCCAAATGTCCATGGCCCCCACTCCTGCTACATTACCTTCTCTCTCCCAGCCTGCACCTATGGCCTCATGGGGCATTCCTTACGACCACTTGACTGAAGAAGGGAAAACTCAGTTGTGGTTTATAGCCGAGGTTTATGACGGTTTTGCACAATATACAGGCACCAGGTGAAAACAAAACTAGTGTCCCTTTCTGGGACATCCCTGAAGAATAATGGTGAAAAAAAAAATTCCCCCAGTTGGCAGAACTTTGATCAGTGTACTTGGTTGTTCATTTTGCCTGAAAGTAGAAATGGCTAGAAACTCTTCTGACCAAGAGGTCTCAGTTCCAAAAGAAGGAATGCTTCCACCAGGAGACCCAACAACATTTCCATTAAATTGGGAGTTAAGGCAGTCACCTGGCCACTTAGGGTCTTTCATGCCTCTAAACAACAGGTAAAGTAGGAAGTTCCTCTACTGGCTGAGGTGACTAATCCTGATTACTAAGCAGGAAATTCGGTTGCTACTACAGGATGGAGATGTATTAATAATAGGTAACTTTACATTGCAGTATTAAGTTATAAGACATCAAAGGTGGAGAAGAAACATCACTCAAGGACGTTGCATCCCCTTGGGAAAAGTGTTGTTATGTTTTCAGTAGTATGCAGGATAGTTATATCATGTTAAGTGAAAGTATGACTTTGCTATTGTCTTTACATTTTTTTATTTATCTTTTTTTTGAGACATAGTCTCACTCTGTCGCCCAGGGTGGAGTGCAATGGTGAGATCTTGGCTCACTGCAACCTCTGCCTCCCAGGTTCAAGCGATTCTCCTGCCTCAGCTTCCTGAGTAGCTGGGAATAGAGGCATATGCCACCACGCCCAGTTAATTTTTGTATTTTTAGTAGAGACAGGGTTTCACCATGTTGGCCAGGTTGGTCTCAAACTCCTGACTTCATGATCCACCCGCCTTGGCCTCCCAAAGTGCTGGGATTACAGGTGTGAGCCACCGCGCCCAGCCAAAAACATTTTTTTTTAAAGAGATAGGGTCTTGCTGTGTTACCCAGGCTGGAGTACAGTGGTGCGATCATAGGTCACTGCAGCCTTGAACTCCTGCGCTCAAGGGATCCTCCTGCCTCAGGTTCCTGAGTAGCTAGGACTACAGGTGTACACTCCCACACTGGCTAATTAAAAAAATGTTTTTTGTAGAGGTGAGGTCTCTAGGTTGCCCAGGCTGGTCTTGAACTCCTGGGCTGAAGTGATCCTCTTGCCTTGGCCTCCCAAAGTGCTGGGATTACAGGGTCCCTGGTCTGTTACTGTTAGCCTTTAGAGATCAAGTATGGTTAAGGAAATGTGTAGGAGTGTGATTGCCGGGTCATCAGTCTAAATTTTAGCTACCCTAATGAGAGTGTTGTGGTTTTAAATGGAAAAATCCCTAGTTGACTAAAGATGTTGATAATTTCTCCATTGCTTATAGCCCATTTTTATATCCTGTGAACTATTTACTAAAGCCTTTGCCCATTGGTTTATTGGGCTGGTTTATTATTCATTTATAAGAGTTCTTCATGTATTCTGGATGCAAGACTTTTGTCTAATGCTTTCTATTGCAAACTCTCCACCTGTGGCTTGCCTTTTCATTTTCTTAATGGTGTCGCTCAAAGAGTACCAGTTTTTAATTTTGATAGAGTTCAACTTATCAATCGCTTTTTTTTTTTTTTTTTTTGAGACAGGGTCTCACTCTGGCACCCAGGCTGGAGTGCAGTGGCACCATCTCAGCCCACTGCAACCTCTACCTCCCAGGTTCAAGTGATCCTCCTTCCTCAGCCCCACAGGTAGCTGAGACTACAGGCACAGCCCAGCTAACTTGTATTTTTTGTAGAGATAGCATTTTGCCATGTTGCCCAGGCTGGTCTTGAACTCCTGAGCTCAAGTGATCTGCCTGCCTTGGCCTCCCAAATTGCTGGGATTACAGGTGTGAGCCAGGCCACAAATCACTTTTTATGGTTCATACTTTTTGTGTCCTAAGAAATCTTTGCCTATCCCAAGGTCACAAATACTTTTTCTATGTTTTCTTCTAAATTTTTTTTAATAGTTTTAGCTTTTAAATTTAGGTTTATCATCCATTTTGAGTTACCTCAGGTGGCTCCTTCAGTGCTTCTGAAATCTATAAATGCATCCTCCACCAACCTCAAATATAAGTAAACCTTGCCACCTCCGTCTCCTTTGCTCCTCATTCAATTCATTGCCAAGTCCTGTCATTTTACCACTAAATAGTGCTCTTCTCTGCCACCACCCTTCTGCCTTGCCTTGACTACCTGGCCAGTGGCCTCCTAACTGGCTTCCCAGCCCCAACTTTGAGACTCTCATCAGACCACTCTTCACATTGCTATCTAAGTAACTTAAAAACAGACATAATAGGCCGGGGGTGAGGTGGCTCACGCATGTAATCTCAGCACTTTGGGAGGCCAAGGCGGGTGGATCATGAAGTCAGGAGATTAAGACTATCCTGGCCAACATGGTGAAACCCCATTTCCACTAAAAATACAAAAAAAAATTAGCTGCGTGTGGTGGCATGCGCCTGTAGTCCCAGGTACTAGGGAGGCTGAGGCAGGGGAATCACTTGAACCTGAGAGGCAGAGATTGCAGTGAGCCAAGATCGGCCACTGCACTCCAGTCTGCCCCTCAAAAACAAAAAACAGACATAATAATCAAGTTCTTTCGCCGGCAACCCTGCTGAAAAATACCTGAATGGCTTCTCTCAAGCACTCAGATTAAAGTCCAAATCCGGCCGGGTGCGGTGGCTCACGCCTGTAATCCCAGCACTTTGGGAGGCCAAGGCGGGCGGATCACAAGGTCAGGAGTTACAGACCAGCCTGGCCAAGGCGGCGAAACCCCGTCTCTAACAAAAATACAAAAATTAGTCAGGTGTGGTGGCGCGCGCCGGTAGTCCAGCTACTCGAGAGGCTGAGGCAGGAGAATCGCTTGAACCCAGGAGGCGGAGGTTGCAGTGGGCTGAGATCAAGCCATTGCACTCCAGCCTGGGTGACCTGGGTGACAGCGCAAGACTCTGTCTCAATAAATAAATAAATAAATAAATAAGTTCCCAATCCTCACCTGTTCTTGCCTACCTCTTCCCACACTCGCAGTCTACTCCACATTGAATGTTCTTTAGCGCTTTCCATTCTGGCCATGCCAAGACCTCACCCGTTGCAGCAACTAACTCCTCCCAACTCAATTTCTCAGATTCTACCCTCTTCATCCTCAACTAAATCAATTCCCCCATAAAGATTCTCTCAGTACCATATACCTCTCAGAAGATTTTTACTAACTGAAAACCTAATTTTGTCTGATTCTCCCATGAACGTTTTCCTTCTCCACCAGATCTCAAACTTCATGAGGTCAGGGACTCCGCTGACCCCATATGGTACTCCCAGCTCCTTGAACACAGAAGAAGTCTCATTACATAAGTAATAAAAATAAAATAAATTAGGAAAATGGGAATTATAAAGGGATAGGCTGGTGGCTGCTTACGATTCCTTCAGTGGTAATACCTGGTGCAAAATAATGACAGTCTCTGCCCTTTTCCAAGCAGCCTGCTAGGTGGAACGAAGGAAGGCCTTGCGACTCAACTAGGGAGAACAAACGTGTGATCCAGAGCGGCGCGCAGAAATCCGACGAAACCCCATATTATTCACGGGCGTTGCTCCTAGGGTGAGGGTGGCTCGGTTCCAAGAGCTTTTTGCCAGGAGGAGATCACCTGGAGCAACTCGGCACTACCTGCAGCGGCGCAGCTCACCCAGCCCAGCGACCGCGTGGGTAGGCGGGCTAGGGGCGGGGCCACGCCTTCCAGGGCCCATCCCCGCCCCCTGCGGCGTGCGCGCGCCCGTCCGCCCGCTCCCTTGCGCGTGCGCCGCCGGCCGGGGGCGGAGGTTGTGGGCGGTGGCGGCTGCGGAGGGGGCGCGCGCGTTCTCGCTCCCTCGCGCCGGTTCGCGCTCCCGCGCCGGGGCTGAAGCGGCGGCGGCGGTGGCGGTGACTGAGGTGGCGGCGGCTGAGGCGGCGCGGGGGGAGGGTCGGGAGGGGGGGTGGTTGTGGGGGATGGACCGGGTGCTGCGGCCGCAGTGGAAGGAGCAGGCGCTTGAGCTCGAGCGACGGCGCTGGCGGAGACGCCGGCTGCTCCTCCCCTCCCCGCCGGTGAGTGAGCGCCCCCGCCCCGGACGCTGGCGCCGGTCGCGGCCCCCTCACGGCCCTCCGCGGTGGGTGGGGACAATCGTGAGGGAGCGTGGCCCGGCGGCGCAGCGGACGCGGGCCTGGCCTCCCGCTCGCGGCCTGTCGGGGCTCGGACCCGCCGTCGCCCCCGTTCGAGGTTGAAGCCCCGGGCCTAGGACTCGACCCCCAGCATCCCACTGGGCTTCTTTCCTTTCCTGGCTCATTCCGCTGTCATTTTGACCTGGGGTTCCCTCTCCAGCCCCTCGCCTCGTCCCCTTCCCAGCATCCCGGGGCCGAGGTGAGGGAGGGGCGTGTGAGAAGTCGGGCCGAGGCCCGAAGGACTGTTAGGAGCCGGTTCCCGTCGGGGTCTGGGGTTTTAGGAGCCCTCGATCGCCATGGCGTCCCAGAAGTTAGCCACCAGGACTCAGCCATTTCCACCTGAAACCAGTTTTGCACCTTTTGTTTTGATTTTGAACTGTCGTTCGAGGGGAGGAGGGAGTACTGGGGAGAATAGATGGTGGGAGGTGGGATGTGAGAAGTAGCTAGCTGGCTGGGCTTGGCCCCAGGATGCCCCGTTAACCCCTGTAGGAGAGGGGAAAGGGGTGCAGCGAGTTGCACCTTCCCTAAAGGGCCAGAGATCGGTTTATAGCTTGCGAATCTCTGCTTTTTCAGCCTGGGTGAAGGGGTATCATTCGTGGTTGGTTTGGTTCGTCCCTTAGCAGCATTCTTGGTGAGGAATCCCCAGGTGAATCTGCCGTTGAGTGAAGCAGCTCACTTGAGCTGTTGGCTACCCTCGGCCCCCCCAACGCCCGTTGGCTTTTGTGACACGTTACATGTTAGTGTTGGGTAGAGCCTAGCCATCAGAGGTACCTGTACTATAAGCATCTTTATAAAAAGTCTGAATTCCTAAATTAGCTTATTCTGTTCTTTAAAAAAAATCAATCCAGGGCTTAAATATCAGATAGCTGCTTTAAAATAAAACAACATTTTGATTTGTTCCAGGAGATAGATACATTTTTTTTTCTCTGTATATTAGAAGATCGAAACTCAAATTGTGAGTAGGTGGTAGTTTTACTAGTGTCATGTGACAAAACGATGTTTATAGATGGCATTTTAACTTAACAATAACCTTGTCCTCTACCAACAGAATTGGCTTGTATTTTTTTTGCAATCACACACCCACTCTCTGGCTAGTGTAGAAAGATTAAAAAACTGCTTCTGGTCTGTGGGTGGTAACCTTTTAATTTCTAAAGAGTTTTGAACTGCTTATAGATTGCTGATCAACAGCATAGGAAAATTTTAGACATTAAAAATTCATTAGCATGTGATGGAGATCTGTTATAATTATGAGCATTGATTAAGATTTGATATGGTGTAGGTGCTGTGTACTGTGTATAAGAATGAGATTTCTCAGAGCATTTGCATCTTAAGGTAAACAGAAGCACAGACTGCTGACAGTGTTGTGACACTTTACAGTAGGACTTTTTTATGAGCACAAAAGACCTGTAGTCTACAATTTGATGAAGAACCCCAGTGCCCTAGACTAGTTGGTGACCAACCACCATTACTTTCGTCCTTCTTGATGGTAGAGTATTTCCCCTTTTCTGCAAGACTACTTATGCCTCTCATAAATGTACAGAACATATAATGGCTCAGGGCTTACTTAGGTTTAAGCTCCTCAGAGTGGCGATTATGGACCATTCATTAATTTATTTATCAAATACTTATTGAGCCCTTACTTTGTTTCAGGATGTTTTCTAAGTACTGAGCTACTTTGTTGGGACAAAACAGACAAGGCCTGTTCCCTGATTAAGCTTTATTCTGTATGTATGGGAATGAGGAATATACAACAAACAAGCAAATAGGATCATTTCAGATAATGATATAAATCAGTGGTTAGTAAACTTTTTTTGGTAAAGAACCAGAAAGTACAGTACATATCAGGGTTTTTGGGCCATATGATCTCTTTTGCAACTACTCAATTCTGTTTTAGTACAAAAGCAGCCACAGACATGAACAAACATAACAAACATGTTTATGTTCCAGTTAAACTTGGGACATGGAAATTCGAATTTCATAAAATTTTCACATGTCACAGAATATTACGAGTTTTTAAAAATATTTTCCCCTAGCCATTTAAAAATGTAAAACCATTCTTGGCCATAGAAAACGGGGCAAGGTGGATTTGGCCTATAGATTATAGTTTAGCCTTTTATAGAAAAAGTTTGCTGACCCCTAATATGAATTATGAAGAAAATAAAACAAGCTGATGTGACAAGTGAATGACTGAAAGGTGGGTGGAGGATTACTTAGTGAGAGGAGGCCTCACTAAGGAGAAGGTGTTTGAGTTGTGACCTGAAAAATGGGAGTGCTTTCCTGGTAAATGAAACTGTGAGTGCAAAGGTCTGCAGGTGCAGATGAGCTGCTCTTGTTTTCCAGCATTGAACTTCCCCACATAGCATGTCATTCTTACCTTTATGTCTTTGTTAGAATGTTCTTCTTCATGTAATAAGATGGTACCTTTCTCTCTCCTCTTCCTGATCCTGCCTTACAGTACCCATGGAGTAAGACTGCAGTGGAGTTTCACCTCATCCCAGGGTTAGGTCCTCAAGTTAGTGCATGAGACAAAAATCCCATAAGATGAACACTCTTCTTGAAAATTCAATAAATTGCTCAAAAAGTATGGTATGAATGTTTTTGTATATATAGTTGTATAAAATTCTTACGAATATTAAAGGCTGAGAGCCACAGAGCTTGACTGGGGGAAAGAGCAGAGGAAATAAATTATTATATAGATATCTGGGCCTTCAGACTATTTGGTTTTTTAAAATTGCTGTGGAGTCCCTATCAGAGAGTGGGGGATGGTGTAGAATTTTGATATGTTCCTGTTTCCATGCAGGGTTTAATTCTATTTTTATGTTGTCTCTATTACATTAATCCATGCTCATAGATATGTTGTGAATATTAAACAAAATAATGTATTTGAAAGAGCCAGGCACTTAAGATAGTCAGTTATTTGAATCTGATTTTTACTTCTTTGGGCTCACATACATACTGTCCTTTGAAAAGTTGTAGAGAACTTAGCCACCTGTTTCCTGTCTTTCCATATTGGCATTTCCTGTTGTGACTCCACTGAACAGCTGTCCCTCTCTGTCTTTGAGCATTGGTCACATTCTGCCAGAGGTTGGCTTCTAAGTTAAATGGGTATATGATGTAACTCTGTTCGTTCTGCCACATGACCCTTAAAGTGTTTGAGCACTGCTGTTATGTCTCCCATTTAAGTCTTCACTTTGCAGAGCTAAACGTTTTTATTTTTCTTTTTTTAAAGATATTATAGAGATGGGGTCTCATATGTTGCCTAGGCTGGTCTCAAACTCCTGGCCTCAAGTGATCCTCCTTGACTTGGGCTCCAAAAGTGCTGGGTTTGTAAGCATGAGCCACCATGCCCCAGCCATTGTAATTTCTGTTAGCTTTTTCTTATATTTTCACCCTTCTGGTTGTTCTTGTAAGTGAGCTAGTTTATCTTTTTTATCTTGTTTTTTTTTTTTTTTTTTTTTTAAATTTTGCTACTCTGAAGTACATTTTAAGGTAGAAACTCAAGTTTTATCTCCTTGACCAAGTCTTTCCTGATAATTCTAGACCTTCTTTATATTCTTAATATACTTTTAAGTTTACTTTTCAATTTAATTTTTTCTTATTTTTGTATTTTATACTAGTTTCATGAGCATTTGACTTCACACTGCGACAACAAGCTTCTTGAAGGCAAAGACCCTGTTTTAAGTATCTTTTGTGTCCTAGATGCACTGAATAAAATTCCAGGGATGCAGTTGATCACAAATTTGTTATAATTTTTAAAAATAGACTTTAAAGTTTAGATTTACAGAAACATTGCGAAGATAGTGCAGAGTTCCTGCCTATCCTACACTGTTTCCCATGTTATTAACGTCTTACATTCCTGTGATCATTTGTCAGTATTAATAAACCAATATTGATACATTATCACAGAGACCATACTTTATCCGGTTTCCACAGGTTTTTCCTTAATGTTGTTTCACTATCCCAGGATCCCAGGATCCCAGGATCCCATCCACGATACCGCATTACATTTAGTAATTATGTCTCCTTAGCTCCTCTTGGTTGTGACAATTTCTCAGACTTTCCCTATATTTAATGACCTTGGCAGTTTTGAAGATTACTGGTCAGGTTTTGTTTGTTTTTTTGAGACAGGATTTCCCTCTGTCACCAAGACTGGAGTGCAGTGGCACGATCTCAGCTCACTGCAGCCTCAACATTCTGGGGTCAAGTGATCCTCTGACCTCAACGTCCAGAGTAGCTGGGCCCACAGATGGGTGCCATCATGTTCTGCTAATTTTTGTACTTTTTGTAGAGATGGGGTTTTACCATGGTGCCCAGGCTGGTCTCGAACTCCTAGAACCAAGCAATCCGCCCTCCTCAGCTTTCCAAAGTGCTGAGATTACCACTGTGCCCAGCCACAGTCAGGTATTTTTATAGAATGTTCTTTGGGATTTATCTGTTGTTTTTCTTGTGGTTAGGCCAATAATGTAATATGCTTTTGGAAGGAAGACCACAGGGGTAAAGTGTCATTCTCATCACATATTAGGGATGTATACTCCCAGTATGACTTATCAGTGTTGATGTTAACCTTGCTCATCTGGCTTGAGGCAGTGTTTTCTGCGAAGTTACTCTTTCTTCTTCTTTTTCCTACTATACTCTGGAAAATCGTCACTATGTACAGCCCACACTTAGTGGTGATGAGTTATGTTCTACCTCCTTAAGGGTGGCGTATCTACTTAAATTTCATTGCTAAATGGTTTCAGCTTTCGCCATTGGGAGCTCTTTAAGTTGGCTCCTGTATCCTTTCTCTTTGACATACCTCCATGATTGTATGTGTACTTTCTTACTTTCTGGCAACATAAGATGCTGTAAGGTTCATCTTGTATATTTTCTGCTCCAGTCCTGTAAACAGTCAGTTCTCAAGGAGCCCTGGTACCTTTTATTGAAGAATGGTGTTACAAACCAAGATCTGGGTGATAGGTGTGCTTCTTGGTATTGAAGTGTTGTTGCTTCTAGGCCCTCTCAGTTGACAGAGGAAGGAAATATATGTGTACGTATTAACCTCTGTATATGCACATATCTATATATATTTCTTTATGTAACTGTATCTTTATTAAGCTAAACATGACTTCATGATGTGTCCAACTCTAATTCATTACCACATGTGTTATTCTAACCTTACCTTATATGTAACCTCCTGCTTCACCAGTGAAAAACCTGCCTCCCACCATCTGCCAGAATTGATTATTCCATTCCAGCATACATGTATAGTGGTTTCAGAACTGTTAATCTGTATACCTGTGGGAAACTAGTTTATCAACTAGAAACTCATGGATAGTTCTTTTTGCCTTTAGTTT